AAATACAGAACAGTAAATAAAAAATTCGATGACGAGGAACCCACCTTGAGACTAATAATGGCTGGAGACGGCTTGAATGGGTAATGAAGAAAAACTTTAATATAAGTTTAACATAACAGCAAATGTACAACGTTTCGACGAGGTTTTGTCATCATCAGGTACAAGTAATTTACACTGACTCGGATATATATATATATATAGAAGTAAGTATATATAAGGGAAGTTTCCAAAAATGGAAAAAGGTGGGCGGAGTGCCACTGTGTTTAATTTATTACATGAGCAATATCTTAGCAAATAGAAGAGATAAAACATTCTTATTTTATATTCTAGCTTGTCAATATTGGTAATTTGAGTTTCTAATTCATACAAAACTATAAACTTTGTATTTTGACTTCACAAACATCTAATTTGAACCAGTGTTGCATTCAACATACCACATGGCACACAAAATTGATGTTTATTTGTGTTTTTTAATATTTGCTTTTAAATTAAAAAAATTTGGAAATATATAGTAATAAAATTTGAATTATAATCTACAGTTTAATACAAAAGTTATTGACATAAATTCACAAAATAGTAATGTAATGTTTACTGATAACCTGCCAAATTTTGTTAACATTCGCTTACTAATTCAAAAGTTATAGCATGAAAACTATAACAAGCACAAATTGGTTATGAGGTCGGTCCCACGGACTGAGCCCATGCTGAATAAGTTAATAAAGGTATCTTGATGTTTTTGTATCTGTTTAAAATTATATTATTCTTACTTTTTAATAGATATAATATGATTTTATTGAGTTGCAATATTTGTAAACATGAAGTCACTTTTTTTATGTTTACTAATTGAAATAAAATAATCATCAAAATAAATAAGTTTAGTTAAATTTATTATTTAATATATATGGTCAACTACAAAACATTCTGATATCTCAGACCTTTATTGAATACTAGTGAAAGTACCTAGATTCACTCAGGTGATTAGGTTTATACATTCTTGATGACCATATCTTTTCTATGTGGCTTTTTGCTAGCTTGCCTCATTAAAAAAGTGTGCATGCACATGAGTGCCTCTCAGACTGTGATTTATATTTGTAATATAAGGAACCACTTCTTTTCTATATACGTGTGCAAAAGTTTCTAGGTTCTTTCTTCTTGGAGCTATGGCATTCACATTTCTTTTCTATGTGGTTTTTCACATAAAAAGATATGCACATGCATGCACGTAGATAAGTAATAATACCCAGGAGCAGACCCTCAGGGTCCACTTAGTATGAGTGCAAAATTTTAGGTTTCCAAGTTCTTTGCTCTTGGTGCTATGGTGATCACATATTCTTTCCTATGTGGTTTTCCTCCTGCTTGCCTCACAGAAAGATGCACTAGCGCACAAGCATGTGGATAAGTAATAATACCCAGGTGTACACCTTCAGGGTCCACTTAGTGTGTGTGCAAAATTTCAAGTTTCTAGATTTTTTCCTCTTGGAGCTACGGTGGTCACAAACACACATAAAGACAGACAGACACATCCTTTTATTACTATATATATTATTTCATTTCTAATTCTATTCAAATATCATATGTAAATAAACTGACTACTTAATTCTTATTGCAATTGTGATATGGTGTAAATAAAAACATTATTGTGATATGTTGTAATTAAATAAGTTATTACCCATACTGGTGATAGTAGATATTAGACAAAAAAAATTCATATTTTTCTCAAAATGCACAAAGAGCAACCTTCTGAAGAGGTCTATTTCTAATAAGAAAGCAAAATAATATGAAAGAAAATGGGAAAATTAATACCATGTTAGAGAAAAATTGTGAAGGTATCAGACATCCTCTTTCTTCCACTCACACGGGGGGAGGGGTATTTGTAATAATTGATTAATCAAAGGTAAATGACTAATGGGCTTGTTCATTAATTAATTAGCAAATACCACTAATTGCCCAACTCTAGTGTTAGTGTAACCTGCACTTAGTTAATGATCAGAATATAAAAACAAAAATCCCTTTACTTCACATTTTCTAACATCAAATCAAAAACACTATTTTTAAACAACTTCAACTGTGAGAGGATATATTGGAAGTGCTACCTGCATTTTTCTCTTTAGCATTAAACATAAAACAAATAGCAATAATGTTTACTAGGTGACAGTCAACTTGCCTTTGCTAAATTTGACCACACAAATTCATCTTGCATGTTTTTTGGTGGCATATATATTTAGAGGTGCCTGCTGCACTTTTACACTGGTACATAATTAAATGTATGAAAACTTGTACTGTGTACATTCTATGTTCTATTATTAATATTTAAATGAGTTGTTTATGAAATTCTGTCAAAATTAAAACTATAAGAAATTGATTAACAAATGAAAAATTAATAATGAAACTTATGATCAGCAATCACAGGTATACTGCAGAAAAAATCCTCCATGTTTTTATTTCATAACCATATATCATCTGAATACTTATCAGTCATTACACTGCCATCTGTTTAAACAAACAACTGATTAGAAACGGTGATCTAATCAACAAAATTTGTAATATGTAAACTTCTAGCAACCACTTTGTGGACAGAACTTGAAGTTCTTCACAAATCAGTGAATAACAAAAATACCAGTATTCTAAGTTTTAATATCACATATTGTACTGTGTAAGAAATATTACAATATACTAACTAAAGGGTAGTTATTACACACAAAACCATTTAAATACCAATCAATGTTTGTCAAAAACTTAACTATGTATGGCATTAATAATAAAGATTCCACTTGAATAATGCTATATGCATAAAAAGTTGTAAGGAAACTGGTATATGTTTCTTCTCTCCATCACTAATAAGAGAAACTGTATCATAAAAAATTACATATTTAGCAATGCTAAGAAACTACATTAAATATGGAAAATGTTAAATATCTAATACAAATGTATACTAAAAAAAAGCATGACAGTAGAACTTGGCAATTCATTTGATTAACTAAAAGTATCAATTACAAGTAAACCAATTAATATTATGAAAATAATGAACTACTCAAAATTAATGTTTCCAATTATTACTGTTTTCAATGATTCCAACTATTCAGCAATGGAATTATTACCATTATGATTTTTCATTATTTATTATTAAATCATGTTTGTTTGGCTTAATCAATTATTATCATGACTCACAAAAATAATCAAGCAATACAAATAAGGGTTCCTGATTATTACTGTTTTTGATTATTCTAACTATCCAAGTAACTGAGATATTGTCATTATGTTTGTTTGTAGTTAACCACAAGGTTGCACAAATGGATTATTTGTGCTCTACCATAGCAGCTCTGGAAACTCCACAACTGACATTATAAGTGTATTGTCTTTTTGCAGTCACCTGGGATGAGATTAATCAATGTTTTTGTTTTGTTTTTTGCCACCCCATGATAATAATCAATTAGTTAAATGTAATTAATGAATGAGCACAAAGATTAATTTATCAGCAAATTCCACTAATCACTCACATATAATTGACCATAGAACAAGCTTTCATTTTATTTATAGTACTGTCAGACTAATTATGGCCAAACCTGAAATGTTGTACAGCAAGGTCAAGGTTTAACAAAGTTTCCAAAAGAGATAATGAAAACATTTTTAGTATTTATCAAAATCAGTGCTCAAAAGAGAATAAGTTCTTAAGTTGCATTTATAGAAGAAACACAAAATCTTTTACATCTGCCATGGAAACTACCTTTTCAACCTCAAATATACATTGGCACATCAAGGGCCAAACAATGTGTCTAATGAATGTGGACTGCAAATACATCTGCACTCATTCAAATTTCAATGAATGTTTTTTTATTTTAGTGGTGGCTAAGGAAAACATTTTTTTCATTTATACAGCAGGATTGAAGTATGTATTAGAAAACACAATGCAACTTTATAAGAAACCTTTTTACTCCTCCCAAAATGGTGATATATCATTATTATTCCAAAAATTAATTGAAAATAATAATAATAGCATATTCATGCTTCATTAAGACATTACTTAATTCATATAATAGGCCTAAATTTGTTTATGTGTAGCATATCTCTTAACCTTAATAAAAATAGCAATAAACTCTGGTAATATAAATTAACGAATCTAACAGTAACACGGGTTCGTTGATGTCGTTACTTAGTTACTACATTAGGTTTTATTGTCAGCATGTTTTTAAAACCAATGAGAAATCTCAAACCACCCAGTATCAAAACTAAAAGATATATCATATAGCTTCTTACCCTACAATCTTCACTTGTTATTCCTTTCATAGAGCCATTATGTAGATTTTCTAAATCAGTTTCAAGAGGCACAGTCCTGTTAGTAATAATACTATTAGTATTATTCAGTTGGGGATGAGATTTACTACTCGCAGTAGCGGAAATCTCCACCCCATTTTCTATTCCTTTGTTTTGTAAAGTCGTCTGGAAAGAACTACGACCTCCCTTTTTATTCTTGCGTCTTTTAGAACGCTTATTTTCCGAAGAACTCATCTGTATATACAATAAAGTAATGACAAATTCGACTACGTATACTTGTCACACGCTAAGATGTGAACATCCAATATGGCGTTTAATTTCCCATAATACATCTCAGAACTCTTATTCACTAGATGCCGCTCTAATGTTATGATTGAAAAAGCATTTCTGGAAAATGTTTTATATTTTTCCAGTGTTGTTTGATTGTTTTTATGCACAAAACTACACAACAGGTTTCCTGTGCAGGGCCCACGGCTAGTGTCAAAACCCGATTATTAACGTTATAAACCCTCAGACTTACCACTAATCCCTAGGGAACATTCTTTATGAGAATAATGCAAAAGAATAATTATGTAAGGCAAAACTATTAAAAAATCTATTTATTATGAGTTGTTTTGGTTTTTAAACGCAAAACTACACAATATGCTATTTGTGCTGAGCTTATCACAAGAATCAAAACCAAGTTTTTAGCATTATAAGTCTTCAGATTTACCGCTGTGGCACTGGAGGACATTTATTTGGGGATATGTAATTTACTTATGAACTGATTAATGTTCAATCCTTAAGAAATGATGGAATAGATATTTTTTCAAAGGAAATCTTCAGCAAATAAAAAAGTCACAAAACAAAATTATTAAACAAAAATCTCAGAAAAAACATTGTCGGGATTAAAGATTATTATTGAAAAGTTGGGGAGTCTAAATTCTGCAATAAGATTAACTCCTAGTAATTGTTGCAAGTTATATTTTTAGTATTTTAGTTTAGATGTTTGCTTACTAGAGGGATATAATCATGATTATGATGATGCAATATATCTCGAAAATTCATTAAAGCTAAGGCCTCTGCAGATTCTATTCCAGATATTTAGTACAATATGTAAAAATGTGATATGCAGCCAGATCACATGTTTTCTATCTATTTCAGCTTTTAAGAAGAACGAGAAAATAAATAAGAAAACAAACTACAGCAGTGGCAAGAAAACCTGCAACAGTGGCAGCTCGAACAGCAAAATAAACAAGAAGAGAGATTACAGCAGTTGTTGGAGGAAAAAGAAAGGAAACAAGAAGAACAAAAAATAAACAAGAAGAGAGACTACAGCAGTGGTTGGAGGAGAAAGAAAATAAACAAGAAGAGAGGCTACAGCAGTGGTTGGAGGAGAAAAAAAATAAACAAGAAGAGAGACCACAGCAGTGGCAACTGGAACAAGAAAAGAAACAGAAAGAAAGTCTCCAACAGTTGAGAGAAAGCCAGCATACACAAATTGAAAAGATTAGTAAATTTCAAATGAATTAAACACATTAAAGGATGATTTACTGTCTTTTACACAAGGAGGATATATTAGCGATGGACCTAATCAGCCTCAGACAACGGGAAGCCCCTTCCAGACCCTGCAGCTAAACCCTAATGCAGACATCTTCACTCCTGTCAGAAGTCACATTCCAGACATGAATGTCAGCAATAGGGGTGATCTAGTACGAAGAAAGCCACAGGAATTCGAAGGGAAGGCACTGCGGGAAGCATATAGAGCACAATTTGAGCTCCTGGCAGAAATAAATGGATGGACAGTGAATGAGTCTGAAGGGGCAACCACTGGAAATACTTGGACAGTTATCAGTAAGCCGACAGACACAACTATAGAGCTCTGGTAGAGGATCTGGAACTCAGGTACGAAACCCAAAACCAGCCAGAAGGCTACAGGGCCAGGTTCAGGACGAGAGTCCGTGCTAAAGGGGAGAGCCTGCAAGAGCTGGCACA